TCAGAGCTTTACAAGTGCTTCCCAGATGATTAAACTTGTTTTAATTACTATTTGAATGCATTTCAAAGACAAAGCCGAGGCTGCAGTTGCAGGGTGAGGCGTATTGTGGAGTCTTGCATTGCATTAGGAACAGTGAAGCGACTCATTTACGCTGCTTCCGCCTTAGCCTCATAGGCTTTGAAAGAAGACGGGAAAGGCTACAAAGATCAGTTAGATGAATCCTGTTGGACTTCCACCGGTGCTACTCCTCTAGCCTTCGGCAGGGATGGACCGAGCGGGTTGTCGTTACACCCTAAAATTTTTTATATTTTAAATTTTTTAAATTTTTTATTGATTATTTAATTTCGCATCCTTTCAAATTTTATAACTCTACACTTTAAAATTTTTAATATAATATCTTAAGTTTTTAATCCTACATAAATTTTTACGTCATTCTCGGGCTTTCGGCACCGATTTGTTAAACGTAACTAAAATCCTTCTACATTCATGATCATTCATGGTACGTAATAAACAAGATGCAAATTAATCGGAGATTTATATTGCTGCAGACATATGCGAGCTCAAAAGCAGCTTCCGATGAAGATTTGCTAAGGTACGGTAACGAGATCAAGAACGTGAGCCTCGTTCTCGGAGTCGTCGGTGGACCAATGCTTATCTCGTGCATTCCCGGAAGCGTGAACGCGCTGATTTCACAAGTCACAAAGAACAACTCGTTGTACAACACCCTGACCCTGAGATTTTTGGAGGAATTGTTGGGAAAAGTTCCAATTTTGCAAGTCGAGGATGTCTGCGACGCACACATTTTGTGCATGGAGAAGCCATCGTTGAATGGCAGATTCCTTTGCGCTAGCGCGTATTTGAGCTTGAGCTCTGCAGAGATCGCTAGTCTTCATTCATCGAATGATTTCCCCTGATATAGAGAACCTGATGAGTTACGTCATGATAAAGATTGAATTGTTTTACGTCAAATTTATGAAGCAGACTAAATTTACAAAATTTGAATGCTTGGTTTCAGGATTGTGGAGAAGTTGACGGAGAGAAATTAAAATAGTTTGGGGGTCAAGTAAGCTGGAAGAAGCGGGATTCGAGTACAAATATGATGTCAAAACAGTACTTGAAGATTGTATCAACAAAGTTTGGGGAACTCAAAATTCCACCCTCTCGAGTATGAACAATGAAATCTATTTTTCCGCTACCCGCTGTCAAATGTTTTGCAGAATAATCGTTTGAAATTCTTTTACTATTGTTTGAAAATACAAGTTGCAATACATATATTATTTTATAATTATTTTAGGACTATTTGAAAAACAATACAAGATTTAATTAGTGTCACACCCCACGAGATCAAGCCCGAAACATATGTGCTAGAGTTTGGACAGATGTTCTAAAGGGCATGTTTGGCTTAACTAGTGTAACACCCTAGACCGGTACGACACACAGTCGGCCGATTTAAGGTGCTACACGGAACCACCAAAGTGGCTAACTAATTTATTCTTATTTTTTGTAATTTAAAATTTCTCATTACATCTGAAAGCCCTCAAAATATATAGATGCCTACATATTGACTCTTGACTGACTTTACAACTCAATACAACTGAATTCATGAATATAAATGTCATTTAAGAAACTTGTGGTGTACTCTTCTCTACATTGGATATGGACTCGGTCTCTCTAAAGCTTCTTAACTGCTAGATCTACTGGCTGCCCACGGAAAAAATCTGAAGGCTGAGCTAACTAGCTCAGCGCCATACTAACTGCTAAAACATACTAACTGCATCACTGAAAAGCTCAAGCTATCAAGTATACCGATATCTATTCTACTGCTATCTGTTCTACTAGTCAACTCCTTGAGTGTTAGACCTTGCGCCCAAGCTAGTCTGCTTTAAAACTACTTTAGTGAGTATTCTCGAATATTCACTCTCTAAGCTATAGTACACATCATGGTGCGGCTTAGGGTTCTGCATCTAGGAGCTCACACGCCCCTCTAGTCTACCTTGGATATGACCCCCCGAAAGTCTGCATCGAAAACTATACCCTTGACTAACCCATATTTTCTTCTAAAGAGTGCTAAGTCCTCGGCAAACATAGTTAGTCAGAAGGGCCTCTATCCTACTTAAGGATATCCGGACTAAATCTATATCGTCGACTCTGCTAGATTTTCTAAAGGAACTCGGGTGTCCTGGTTGTTTTCCTGAGCATTCAAACAATGCTAGTATTATTTGATCTTACTCTATTCTTGGTTCTACGTTTGAATTAAACTTTCTTATCATTCTCACTTGTAGTCTCATTTGATGATAATAAGAAGTGTTTGGGTACCTCGAGTCTAATTCCCTTAAAAACTACCATTTTTGCCCAAAATAGACTGAAAGTATCGATTCTAGCCCAAGAGTATCGATATTCCTTCTAAAGTTTTGATACTTTACATAAGTATTGATACTTTTAAACATTATGTTCTATCTAGTTTCGAAACTTTTTGGGAGTTTCGAAACTATGACCCAAAGTTTCAATACTCTTGAGAGAGTACCGACACTCTTGCCCAAAAACTCACGAATTTGCCCAAAACGAAGAACAAGTATCAATACTCTACCCGCAGAAATAAAAAAAACACATACAAAAAACTCTATTTTTCAATCCCAAAGACCTTAGTGAGGTCCCCAAACATGCTTAAAGTTTTATTTGATCAACAGGGGTCATAATATAGGCTTATTAACATGCTTATAACATCAAAAGAACAATCTATCATGGAAATTGCTAAACATGCTTTAAACTTAACTTTCTAACACATCTTAACTTTCCATGATCTACACTTGGTATGAGAAAGCTATAAGTGTGTTATCTGGCCTTCTTGGTTGTTAAACTCCTCTTGAATCAACTAGGATTCACCTTACCTTCATACTTTGCTTTAAAACGCTTTTTCACCTCTTTAACTAAACCAAGCAAGGAAATGGATTACTACTCAACTAGAGTTAGATTAAGCTTAAATACAACTCCTACAACTCAAATTTACCCAAAAACAAGCTTAAAACATTTGATTTCTCTAACTCCCAAAACCCAGTTTTCTAAAATCTTACCCAAAACTAAAGATTAAGGTCTTGAAATAAAGCTTAAAGGATGAGGAATATGATTCTTATCTTGGTTTCTTCAAACTAGGTTTGGGATTCAAGAAACTTCTATCTTTTTGTTTTCTCTTGGGAATGAAGAAGAAATGAGAAGAGAAAATGAAAGATGTGAGATATTTTTTTGTGGAAGGTTCCCGTGAAATCTAGCTAAATAAGGGGTTTATAACCTTTAAAACAACTATGGGTAAACTATATTTTTAGTCCCTCTCCTTTTTACCTCTACTTAAAACCATCACTTACCCTTAACTCTTGGGCCTTACTTAAGCCCAATACCTATATAACTTGGTCCAACTGTCTTGGGAAATCTAATTGGCTTGACTTAAAGGTCTGGGGTTGACCCAAACTACTAACTCGGGTTTCGGGGAATTACAACTAGACCTTTAGACTTGGCCCAAAACATGAAAAACATTAAGGAGTCTGAGCCCGATCATATTGATCTTACAAATATGGAAAGCAACACCTTGTCAAATTGTGTCCACATTGATCTTGCAGAGAAGGTAAGAAATATCATATCAAAGAGGATCATAAGGGAATCTTTCATATCCGTGGAGATGTTCAATCCAAGAAAGAATGAGACTAATTGATTTGATTAGATAATGTCTTGATGGACTTGCCTTAGATATGGAGATTTGTAATTAATAGAGCTCATTTTAGTCATTGATCTTGTTTGATCTTAGTCGTTCATTGTAAGGGGATTCAACTATAAATAGAGGTATCCCCACCTCATTTGTAATCGCTTCACTTTTGAGTAAAACAGAGCATTCACTCAATTCTCTCTTCTTGTTCTTTGGAAGCCATCTCTTTTTTAGTTCTTCATTGTTTCACATTTTTACTAAGTTTTCTTACTTTGTGTTTTCAGGCTTACTTAGCCGCCAAACCATCTAAGAAGTGTTCCAAGGTGACTAAGGTCGCCCGCTCCAGAGTTAGAATCTCCAAGGGTGTGACATTAGCGTACTCCTCTAATGGGGAGGGTGGATTGGGAGACAAGTGGGTTGGTTATCTAATTGATAATATGTTTTCATTTCTAAAATTTTATAAGTTCATTTCCTAACATAAAATTCTATGTTCATTCTACTAATTAGTTATATTAGATATGGCTAAAAAATAAAGGTAAATTATTTTATTGATCATTAAATTATTTTCATTTTTTTACTTTAGTCATCGAATTCATTTTGGAAAAATGTCTTTAGTATTATAAATCTTTTTCATTAAAACTTAATGGATATAATGACGGAGCTTGATATAGTAGTAGTTTTAGTTCCCAAAACTTATATGTTTTATCAATTTGGTCTTGATTTGAAATAATTCAATTAAATCCTTAATATTCAAAAATCATATCAATTTGGTCATCTAATTGGTGAAAATTAAGAAAAATATAAAGTCTATTATAGGGTTAAATTTATTAAATTATTTTGAATTAAAATGAGAATTGAATTGATATGATTTTTAAATATTAAATATTTATTTATTTTAATTTAAAATCAAATTAATAAAAATGTATAAGTTTTGGAGACTATAATCATTGTTAAACCAGGCTATATCACCATCTCCATTAATGTTTTAATAGTCGATAATATAAAAAAAACATAGAATCAATGACTCTTTTGACAAAATAAAAGTTCATCGACTAAAGTAATAAAGTGGTAATAGTTTAATGACCAGTAAGATATTTTTCCCTAAAAATAAATTGAAAAATAATAAGACGTTACAATTGTAATGATATATATATATATATATGAGTAAATTTCGACTTCAATCATTAAATAAAAGTAAGTATAGAAGTATCAATTTTTCAAAAATAAAAATAAAAATATCAAATAAACACTAACAGATTTATATCCACTAAATGGGGAATATATTTATTTTCATTACTGGCATTAATTTTATCAACAAAACATCACTATGACATTGAAATTTGAAGATTTAGAAAGTTATACAGGGATGGAAGGTTACAAATTACTCTCCTAATACAAGATTAAGAGAAGAATTCAGGGTTATCAAATGGAAAGTTTGGATCAAATTCTAACTTATCAAGTGATGAGAAATCCAAGTCTTCGGAAGGTGAGTTAGTAACCGAAGTCGGGTCGGAGATTATATCTGTAAGATCAGATTCAAAGCTGCCCATACAGCATGGTGACACCGAAAAATAATTGGATTCGGAAGTCTCCGGCGATATAAACACCGGAGAAAGATTTCCCATGACGCTGTTTTCCCTTATGGCATCGATAAACGAGTCATTTTTAACTGCTTCCGGTTCAAAAGGGAACGAAAATGAAGGGAAAACATCCTTCCTATTCCTATTGTCCAAGCCCTCTAATTTCTCATCAAGCTGATGCTGCCTTTTCCGAGAGTGATTCCCTTTCTCTCTAGACTCCACCGGCACCGGTATAAACGTACCGGCGAACTGAGAGGCTTGGTTACAAGTATGCCTCCCTTTATATTTAACCTCGAAATTCGTTGGGTCATTGTCTGATCTTTGAACTTGTTTAATGGCTAAACAACCTTGTGAGTGACGATGAGTGCATCGATAATATCCCCTGAAATAAAACATGCAGAATTGAATACTAGAAAACTAGGATTATTCTTGTACTAGACAAAGCTCCAACCAGATAAAAAACAAACTTGGTAATGTGTCTTTTTCGATACTTTACAGTCATATTTCAATATCATAAACTCAAGTGGGGAATAATTAAACAAGCACCGGTGTTTTGTGGTTGTGGTCCTTTATTGTAACTCTAATCACAGCAACCTTTCATCTTTATGAAAAAGGGTAAAAAAAATTGTTTCTCTCACCTAGGGAAATTTGATCCATGAATAGCTTTCTGCCCATATTTTCGCCAGCAGTATCCATCGTCAATAGGATTGTCTAATGACGCCCCGGAGCAAACCCGAACTTGCTCAGCCAACCCAGACGACGTTTTCCTCTTTTTGAACACCTCTCTTTTATCAGAGACCTCGCTTCCGGGGCTGCTATGGTCGATGGAACGACATGATTCGATCGCGTTAACCGCGGGTTTAGTTCCGACATCGAAACCGTTCCAGTTCAGAATGGAAAGAGCTTTCTCGTAGGAACAAAGTATTTTGTCGAGCAAGAGTTGGCGTGTTTGGTGAGACGAAGTAGGATGAAGATGGTTCATGAGCTGATTAGTCACCTCTCTCCCCTCTTTTAGCTCAATCAAAAGAGTCCTCAGCTCCCAATCCATTGTAGCCAAAAGCAAACAACATAAAAAAAGAAGAAGCTCAAAGTCCAAATGATGGTTAGGTACAAGAAGGGATGAAAAGATAGTGAAGCTATGCATGCAAAGGAGAGTTCAAAAAAAGAGGGTTTTGTAAGACAAAAAGGAAGGGCAGGAAAGGAGGAGGAGATTGGAAAGAAAAGAGGTGGAAAGAGGTGGGAATTTGTAGTGTCACCATAGGGGTGGAGTGTGGATAAAAAGGGGGAGAGATGCTGACCAATTCAAGTGAACCTACAACATAATTTGGAGTGAGAAAGATTGGTTTTCTAGAGGAAATAAAAGAGAGTTGAAAGTCAGAAATATATGAAAAAGAATCTTCAAAATCTTCTCCTTCCGCGTTGTTGCTCACTTATATTACTAGGGTAAATTACATGCTAATCATACAAGTTTTAACATGTTAATGTTTTGATCATTCAATTATAATTTATTTTTCAGATTTTTAATAATTAAACTTTCAAATTATACTCGTTTTGTTCATTTGGATGTTAAGTATTAACGGAAGTACCAAAATAATTGTGTTTCAGAATTGTTTTTATGAAATTAAGAAATTAACCTAAAAATTTAACATTCTTTTTTTTCTTATGAACGACATTCTTCTCTTTCATCGCTGATCGTCATTTGTGATGTAATTGGTATAAAAAATGTTCTCGTTTCTCTCCTATTTCCTCTTCTCAGATTGGTGCTCTTTGAAATTGGAAAAAATTTGACCTTGTCTTGCTCTAAACTGCAATCTTCAATATTTGACCTCCTTGTTTTTTCTATCACTTAGATTTGAATGAAAATACTTTATGGTAATAAATTCACGATCGTTGGAAAAGAAAGTTTCAAGGTTTTTTTCTTAAATTTACCAAAAATGTTAAAGAATTAACAATCGAATAACCTAAACGAGTGAAATTTAAAAGCTCAGATATCAAATTATTTTTTATAATTGGTAACTAAAAATATAAGAGCATTGAAAGTTGGACGACTGAACGTGTAATTTATCCATAATAGTAAAAGGGAAATATATGGCTACATCACGTTTAACCCCTCGATTACGAGGATGTTTGAAGGATGGATCCACTCATGTGAGGCTCACGTATACTTTGGGATTCAATCTTGAATCCAAATCCACGGCGATTTGTTCCGATTTAAAAACATTTTTGACTTCCTTTGCCATCACACGGAAATACACCCTTTATCCCATTAGATTTGCCCATTATATAAAAATTATATGTTTTGAGTTGTAATGGTAATTAATAATTAATACATGTTGAATCAAATGACCTGAATGATAAAAATAACATTATTTTTCCAATATATTTAGAGTACGAGCAGCTACATTTATAAGATGCAATAGATTAAAAAGTACGAAACAAATACAATTTTATAATCATTTTGAACTGTTTAAAAAAATAATATAACATAAAGGCTTAATGCCCAAATAAGTGACTAAACTATACTTTTTGTGCCAAATAAGTGCCTACATTTTTTGGTCCATCCGAGTGCCTAACATTACAAACATTAGCAATTTAGGTGTCCAGGTTGTTAACATCGTTAGTTTTTCCCTTAAGTGACACGTGTCATAACCTGGTAATTTTAAAACTTGTTTTTTAAAAAATTAAAAATATCATTATATTTATAAAAAAATTTAACTTTTCTTATATTATTAAACAGTCCCGAAATCCCAAATCTTAACCTTAATTCGCCATTGCCACCCTCTTCGGTCACGACCACCGCCTCCAACGTAATCATTGCCATCATCCTAGTTATATTTCGTCGTAATTGTCACCGATTCACAGTCGGAACCACGTGGAATCATGATTTTTATCTTAGGGGTCACGGGATTTAAAACGTTGATTTGTCGTCAATCAATCGTCAACCGGTCACGATTTCATAGGGGTTTTGGTCACCGGGGGGAGGAGATGTCGGGTGGAGCTTTGTCGACGGTAAAGGGTGGTGGTCGGCGTAGGTTTAGAGGTTGAAATGAAGATTTTCAAAGTTTTTGGGTTATTTCAAAATTTGTGTTTTTTTAAATATATAATTTTATTTTTAAAATTATTATATTGTAACACGTGTCACTTAACGGGGAGAACTAACATCGTTAATGGCCTGGGCACCTAAAGGGGCAACGTTTATAATATTAGGTAAAAAACAGACACTTATTTAGCTCAAAATGTATAGTTTAGGCACTTATTTTGGCAATAAACCTAACATAAATACATGACGGATAATTAACATATATCTAAATTTAAATTAATTTTTTTAATAAAATATACATCTAAACTAAAAATGGATATATTTGTGGGTAGAATTCATTAATATAATATAATATTTATCAGTTTTATACTATTTTAGATTGAACATAAATCGATGACTAATATTGTTCATTTTTTTAATATAAAAATCTTCTTATTTTAAACTTTTTATCTAAGCTATCATTAACATAAAATTGAAAGGTTTTATTATGGGTAATTGGTCTCCCTCTATGAAAAATTTAATCTTATGTCTATTTAAATTTAAATTATAAGCTTAAACATTGAATTATACACTATAAAATGTAAAAGAGATAATAACTTCAGTGACCGAAAATGCCTTATAATGTACGATTTTAACTAATATTTTTTGGATTTGCGAAAATGACCAACAAATTCACAACGCGAACTCCAATTTCACAACTCAATTTCCAAATTCGCAACACAGAAGTCAAATTCGCAACACAGAAGTCAAATTCGCAGAGCGCGTTTATTTTCGCAACGCAAATTTTATTTTCGAATTTGAAACACAATATTAATTTCGCAACACAAATGTAAACAGTATAATCGCAAATCATAACCTAAATCACAACTCAGTCTCATCTCCATCTCTACTCTCTACGGCGACATCCGTCCCCATCTCCGATGAAATCCGTCTATCTCCATCTCTCAGAGCCACCCTCACAACCATGCACAGTCAGAAATGGAAAATCAACCACCGAGGGTTAGTTTTTTTAATTATTTTTATTTTGAAATTTTGTATTATTATTAGATTTTTCATATTTAAATTGATGATAAATTTACTGGTAATTTCAATAATAGATTAACCATTTCACTTAGATTGCTTAGTAAATTCATTCGGTTGCTGCCAATACTGCTAAACTGTTTAGTCTTTAACCCTGTGAAGTTAGTATTTGTCTTTGTTTTGTATTTTGGTTGAAGTAATGCGATTCATTCAAGTTTCAATTTGCAGAAGACTATTTGAAACTTAAATTCGCAACAAACTAAAATCGCAATGCGATTTTAGTTTCGCGTTGCGATTCTAAGTTTCAGAAACTATTCTTCTTCTGCAAATTGAAACTTGAATGAATTGCATTACTTCAACCAAAAAACAAAGACAAATACTAACTTCACAGTGTTGCGAATTTAAGTTTCAAGAATAAACTACTACTCTTTATGTTGTCATTGAACCTGCACTAAACCTATATGTGTCCTTTTAAATGTTTATATAAGTGCTTACTTCTGGAATGTTATCTGATGCATTTTGTGAACTATGATAGAATAATGACTTGGGTGAATACCGTGCAAGTTTGAAATATATTTGGCTTTGTTTTCACTGTTTAATATCATGTCTGTTTATAGTGTATAATTTGTAGTTTTTGGTATATCTAACTTGGTATGTTTATTGTTTTTGTAGAAATTTTTTTCGGCTTCATTGATCTTAAGGAATAAATTAGGCCTAGACACTACAATTGCGTCGACGATATACCTGTACAAAGAAAATTGTTTGAGGATACTTGCTTCAGGCCATGGCTGAAAGTACAACATCCGGGTGGAGATGCTATGTTAACCCATTTGTTTCTTCAAACCATGACTAACAATCTACCCGAGAGGATACAACATGGTGATGAAGAGATATGATTTCATTTTCCTCCGGCGTATACTTGTTTTGGCGGGAGGAGTTTTGCTTAATCACTGGTCTACGCTTCGGACACGATGATGTAGGTCGGTACACTAGTCATATCGCCCGCCCATCATGGTTATCTCGGGTTTTTCCTGTGCTGGAAAAGACGAAGCAGAGTTTACACGTCGATGACTTGAAAAGATTATTTGTTAAAGATGGTTTTACTCTGATGGATGACCTCGATGTTGTCCGAGTATGCCTTTTATTACTTTTGCATGCCGACTTTTTAGGCAAAGAGGCCAGACAACCTATTTCTGATAACTTAATATTATTGGTAGAGGACCTAAATGCATGGAACATGTTTCCGTGGGGTTCATATCTATGGAAAGCTACCTGAAAAAAGTTGTCGTCTGCCTTTGAGGACAAAAAAAGTTTGCGTGGCCATGGTTTCAAATACACTTTGGCATACTTTATTTAGGCCTTTAAGGTAAGAATTTCTATATAATGTTTCCAAAATTATAATTAATTATTTAACAATTACTAATGTTTGTGTATTATATTATTTGTAGATTTGGATATTTGAGGCTTTTCCCAGAATGCGGACATATGCAATCAAAAATTTAAATGATATTCTAAGGCTATTTCCTGGAGGAGGATCCGGTTGTTGGATTGGGAAGAGTTACGACCATATACGACGATTTCCTAGGGTTAATCCTGAAGTGAGCTGCATGAAATTGATGTATTTGTGCATAAACAACTGTCTGGGGTACACTTTTTTTGCTTGTTTAATTGATTTGTAAAAGTTGATTTGTTTAATTGATGAGGAAATAAGAATTGTTTTTTGCTCGTTTAATTTATTAGTAAAAGTTGATTTGTAAAAGTTGATTTGTTTAATTGATGTGTAAATAATTCTTATTTTTTGCTTGTTTAATTGATTTGTAAAAGTTGATTTGTTGTTTTAAATTTCAATATGCATTATGTTGAAGGCAAAAAAGACTTGTTGAAGGTACACTTTCGCAACGCAAAAATCAAATTCGCAACGTGATTTTCGCATTGCGATTTCGCATTTCGAATTTGACTTTCGCAACAATCGCAACGCGAATTTGACTTTCACAACAATTGCAACGTGAATTTGACTTTCGCGTTGCGAATTCAAGGAAAACACCTTAAAAAGATAAACAACAATTTGATAACAACTGAACAGATCATAGCAATGTTCAAACTCAAGTTACTAATGAATGTCTAACTGAAATGTGTGCATTCACACATAAAATACACATAATACAACGTTTGCATTTAAAAATCACCTAAGTTAA